AACGTGCACGTTCCCTGTCTCGTCTGTCCTTAGCTTTGTTTTTGATCTGTGGGTTCTAATTTGTGAGCTGTGAGCTCAGATCAGGGTCTTCCTCCTGTCCTGTGGGGGTGCAAGTATCTGAGGCTACGACTTTTCCTTCAAGGTTTGCATTAGCTGCATCTCGTGGGCCTGCTGTGGCCTCTGACCTCACTGGGCCTTCACCCACTGCCACGCTCCTCCCACATCACGAAGGTCCAGCACAGGACACCCAACATAAAACAATGCAAACCACATATGTAATTTTAACTTTTCTGCATTGAAATAAACAGATGAAAATAATCTAAGTATTTTATTCAAATCAATATTCCAAGTCGCTTTCAAGTCGATGCGTAATCAATCACAGAACCATTTCTAGGGAGTCTGTCCGTGTTTTCCTGTGCGGGTCTTTGATATCTGGGCCCTACTGGAGGCTGACAGCAGGCCTCAGTCCACACTGGCCCATTTTGGGGAGTGGCAGCACATGGCCCCATGGCGGCAGGCGCCTCTCAGGGTCTCTCTGCCTCTCCTACTTGCAGGACGGCCCTGAGCAGGTGCTTTGTCACACCCAGCGGGGGCCATGGTCCCCAAATGGAAGCCCTGGAGGAGACGCCAAGCCAGTGTCCACACACGTCCCTCGGTGTTGGTCAGCACCACAGGGGGGCAGCTTGGCCTCAGATGGAAGCCCAAGGCCAGGCCTCCCTCAGAGGCCTCTCGCGGGCCTGCCGATGGTCGCGCTCCTGCTGGGTCGTCCCGTGTCCTTGTGTGGGCACAAGCGGAGCCTGATGTCTTCTTACAAGGACTCGGTCACGTGGGAGGAAGGCCCAGACCCTCTGACCCCTCGGCCTTCACCACCTCGTCAAAGGCCTGATCTCCAAACTCAGCCTCATGCCCAGGTCCAGGGGCCAGCTTCAGCATGGCTGGGGACACACTGGTCCCATAGGGTGATCCCGAGCACCTGCCACCTCTGTTCCTGGCCCTCATCCCTCCTCCCGCAGGCCACAGCCCAGGGTCGCTGCCAGCTGTGGGCAGGGGAGCACCCGTGTATCCAAGGAGGGGACGCATCTGTCTGGGGCTCAGGCCTTGTCACGGGGACATCTTATCAGGAGCCAGACACGGAGGCTCCGGCCCCTGACACCAGGTTGCGCACCTGCTGTTCCTGAAGGTCAGACAAAGGAAAACCCAGCACCCAAGGGTGCCCAAGACACACAAGGGCCAGCCTTGTGCAGGACAAGACCATGATCACGAAGAGCGGCCAAGGGGCCGGTGGCAGGGCCCACCGACACCACATGGCCCACCTTCCTCAGAGAGAAGCCCCATGTCAGGGTGACAGTGAGCACAGCTAACATGCCACTCCCAGCCACCCCCTCCTCTAGGGTGCCACGTGACCTCATCCTGGCTGACGAGATGGCCGGGGCTTTTCATCTCTATTGCCCTTTCCTCTCTCTTCCTGCCTGGAACCCCTGTAAGGTTCCTGGAGTAGCAGCAGCCTTCTCGTAGACATGAGGATGAAAGCCACATGCCAAGGGTGGCAGAGCAGAGCGAGGGCAGAGCCCAAGTCCCTGGAAGTCAGGAGCCGCCGCACCACCGCCTGGGAACAGGTGCCCGCCATCTTGCTATGTGTGAAATCAAACTCCAGCAACAAAAGCCTCCGTCAGTCACGGTTGTCCACCTGCCCATTGTCACGGCTGGCGCAGTGGCTGCCACCGCGTGGCCGGGGCACAGCCCGTGTGCGCATAATGCTGTTTCCCAGAAGCCTGAGGCGGGCAGCGTCACAGGCTGCAGGTGTCACCCGTGGAGCGCCAGAGTCTGTGTTCTCCAGAACCTTCTTAGTTGCCAGTTGGAGAAACCAGTCTGAGGTGCTCCAGGGAAGAAAGGACCCTGCTGACCAGGGTCACTGAACCAGGGGGTCAGTGGGGCAGCAGCGGCCATCCTCGCCGGAGGCCTGGGCTTCTGTCCCCACTGGACGGTGCCCCTGGAGCAGGACGTCGCCTCCCACGGTCCCAGCCAGAGCCCAGGCTGCAGCTCCCTGGACCAGAGGAGAGCCCCCGGGGAGCCAGAGGGCCCCTCCCGCCCCAGCCCCGAGCCGGGCCGTCCGTGCCACAGAACAGCGGGCACCCGGCCCCCTCTGCCCAGAAGAGACGGGAGAAGTCCCGCAGGGGGCCTGCAGAGAGCTGGACGATGCTCCCTGACGGCGAGGGGGACGTCCCCCCCAGCTCAGAGCCCTCGCTACCCACGGCCGACCGTCCACGGCAGGCGACGCTCTGCCCAGCACTGGCCCAACCCGACATCACAGAGCACAGCAGGCCCGGGCCCCTCCCTCCGCTGTCCCCCCACSGTGGTCCCCTTGGGCTCCCAGGTCCTGCGGGAGCTAAACAAGGACTCTTGGGCTCAGGAGAGTGACCAGGAGACACAAGGACAGCAGAGACCCCCCTGGTACTCTCTGTGGGCCCTTCAACCAGAGCTTGCCCCACACTCACCCCCCAAGTGTCATTGGCCCAGACAAGGGGGCAGGGAGACTCGGGCCCCCTTCAGGGCAGGGGACACCCCTCCTGACAGGTGGCCGGGTCCCTTAGGGACCCACAGGAGGCGCCCACTCTACTAGCCCCGGCCCTCGGCTTGGCTCCGGTTCCCGAGGGACTGTCACGCTCCACCGTGTTCTGGGGACAGGGCTCCGCAGCTCCGGCCCCGCCGTCCAGAGCACGTCGGGCCCAGCCCTTCCCCGCGGAGCTGCGGGAGCTCTTCCTCTCTCTCCCGGGCCACCAGCCTGGGATGCAGAACCTGCCGGAGGGTCCCAGGGACCACCCAGAGGTGCCGGCTCAGCTGCCTGGGGTGGAGCCAGGTGGCATCTGCCACAGTCTCCCCAGGCCATGGCTGCCCCAGGCTGACCGTTATGTCGGTGGTCACCGCGGCTCATGTGGCTGGGACAGGGTACTGATTCTTGGCCCTAAATCCGTTCCCCAGTCCTGCTGACCCTCTCAGGCGGCTCTCGGCACAGACGATCAGAGGATGCGGGTGGGCCCCTTGGCTTGGCCACCAAGTTGACCTCTGTGCCTGGACACTGGCAGGTAGCAGGGGCTTTCCTGCCACACACTTATCTGACCCCTGGGATGATCACCGAGGGAGGAGGGGCCCGTGAGAGGTGAAGACTAAGGTGTGACAAAGGTCCCCACGGGGCCAGGTTGGACTCCGGCCTCAGGTCTGTCCGGGGCCCCTTCCTGGGGGCTGCGGGAGGACAGCCTCCACAACCCCTGGTCCTCGGGAGGCAGGAGGTGGCCCCTGGGATGCAGGAGCCCTGGCCGGGTCACCTGCGGTGAGCCCTGTGAGCGGTCACACTGTCCTGTGTCTCCACCCARGCCCCCTGCACATGTGCTCATCGAGAGTTGGAGGCCCAGAAAGTCAGAGCAGGACCCGCCCCAGGACACTCACAGTGACAGGGACCCAGAGCCTGTGTCCCTGCAACACCCCGCACCGTGGGCCGGCCTCTGCCTGGCGGGTGGAAGGCCGGTCTGTGCCTGCCCAGCAGGTGAAAGGCCAGTGCCGTCCACCCCATCAGGTGGACCCTGGGGGCAGGGAGCATTCCCCAGAGCCACCAGTGGACACAGTCCTGGCCAAATGCACCTCAGCAGAGACCGAGGACACCCTCTGGCTGTGTGTGCTGCTGCCGATAAACGCGTGTCCACCCTCCAGAGGGGACAGGCTGCCCCTGCAGGAGGCCTGGGGCGGGGAGGGCTTCCTGCTGGGCCCGAGGCCTAGTCCCTTTTGGGTCTGGGGGGCCGGGGCCTTGGCGGGGCCAGCCTGTGGTCGAGGTAGGCTCCGAGGCAGGACCACAGGAGGAAGCGGACCAGCAGGATGACCACCAGCAACACCAGGAGCAGGTCGGGGCCCGAGCCGTCCCCCAGCCAGGAGGCCATGCTCACTCCGGCCTCCTGGGCCCCGCCAGGCTTCCCTCCCACCAGACTCCAGCCAGGGCCTCCCAGGGCGGGCAAGGGGACAGATCGGGGCTGCAAGCGGCCTCCTTGGTCAAGAGGCCCATGTGCCATTCATCCCGAGGCAGCCACTCTCCGGGCCCACAATGACAGCATTGTCCYGAGGCCTGGGGGCGGGAGGCCGCCCGGAGCCCGCCTCCCTTGCTGTCCCCGCGGGCCCCTGCCCGCCAGCACTGACGTAATCCCCCAACATCTCCGGCGGTGGCAGCTGCTGGGCGAAGCAGGGCCGCCTCCGGCTCCTCCAGCCGCCCACGCAGCTCTTCCGGCCGCCGCGAGACAATCGGGCCCTTTCTGTCCCCAATTAGCTATCACTTCTGGAGCCGGCGCTGCCCGAGGCCGGCGGTCTTTGCAGCAGCAGCAGGCCGGACTGGGCGGGCGGCTGCACAAACGGGAGGAGGACAGTCGGCTGGCCCAGGGGCCACCCCAGACGCCGCTCAATTAGCACATGGCCCGCATCCTGGTCCTGAGGCCCAGGACATCTTGGGGGGTCAGCGCAGGCTGCAGCAGGACAGCCCAGGGAGGCCCAGCCCCCGGACTTGCCTGATCCCCCAGGGGGCCGCCTGGCTGCCCAGCGCCTCCTTCTCACCCACCAGCCCACCCAGAGGCCTGGAGGGGACCTGGCCCTCAGGGACAGACAGTCCTGTTGGTCCCCGCACGTCCCTCACAGGGTCCGTGCCTGAAGCCCAGCCTCCACACTCACCCAGAGACCAGGGCCAGCCGCTCGGCACTCGCTGCGGCTCCTCCTTGGACCCGGCCTTGAAGGACACAGCCCTGCCCAGGGCACCCCACACCTCTCCTCTCCCAACGCCGTGCGCAGGGACAGCACCCTCATGGGCCTGCCCAGGAGCAGCACTGGCCTCACAGCGGAGCCCCCCCCCCCAGCTCAGGGGCCACAGCAGGACCAGGGGGTCTGGCGTGGTCCAGTGCAGCCGCACGCTCACCAGGAAGCGGTCTGAGGAGCCTCGGAGAGGCGAAGGGGCCTTCTAGGGCTGTGGCCTCGGGGACCCGTCCTTGGCCACCTGATGCCAGTCCCGGGATTCTTCTTCAGATGCAGGACGAGTGCCGGCCCCACTCAGGCCTTCTAGAAAATTCCAAGCAGGGACAAGTGCAGGGGATTGAGGGGTCGCACCTCACAGAGGAGGAGGAGGGCGCCACGGCGCTGGCTGGGCCTTCCTCACCGCGGGACCCCACCCGGGCCCTCTGCTGCCCCACCCGCCCGGGCTCCCTCCCGGGCACCTGCGAGGGCCAGGGTCTCTGCTCTGCGCCGTGGGGAGCGTCTGTCCACAGAGAGCAGCCCCCGGCTGTCCAGCACTTGGCACAACGTCACTCTCAGGGGCACCGAGCTCTGGGTTCTCTGTCACTGCAGACGGCGTGAGAGTCGGACGTTAGGAGCCCGCCCCAGTCAGTAACCGGGCAGGGCGTCTGCTGGACGAGGGCTTCCAGAACTCCCTGCCCGCCAGGCCGAGGGGCCAGCAGGGAGCAGCCACGCACCTGGGAGGACCGGAGGCCCCGGCTCAGCCGATGTCGCTCACCCGAGAGGCCAGGTCTGGAGGACGGGAGCCTGCGCCCAGCCACCAGCTCAGGCCTCCTGGGCAGGTGGGGCCCAGGGGCTCTGGACAGAACTCCCGGTGTTTGCCGAGCACAAATCCACACACAAAGTCAACAACTCCCAGTCACGTGGTCACACACAGGGGACTCCAGGGCACAGAGGCCTGGACCCTCCCTCCCACTCAGACGTCCTGGGCCTYGGGAGTGGGAAGGACAAGGTCAGCACGCCCTTCAAGGAAGCAGGTGCCCCGAGCTGTCCCTGGGCAGCGTCATGACCTTGCCCAGGGCCCTCTCCTCCTGGGGGAGGCTGCGGGGCCACRGGTGTGGGGTGCGGGTGTCCCAAGGAGATCGTGAGAATGAAGCACAGCCGGCCAGCACTCGGCAGGGGCGGGTGCTCCTGGGGCTGAGGACACGTGGCACTCCCCACTACCAGGGAGGAACCCCCACCTGGCCCCCAACTACCAGGGACAGTGACCTGCCCTCCACTCCCGTCCCTTGGGCCCTTGGCAGGGCTTGGACACCACCTCAAAGGCCCTTCACCCCCAGCCTGCCTCGAGGTGTCCAGGGCTGTGGGATGCCCACTCCTGGGAGTCACCGGCCTCCACTCCAGGCACGCTGGGCCAAAGACTTAAATAGGGGGTGACCGCAGGGTCCCTGGGGCAGGAAGGAGAGAGTTGAGGGCCACTTAGCTCCAGAACTCCCCCCAAGAGGGCAGAGAAAATGGGCTTGTCCCCCTCAGAGGACCTTCGGGGCTCCTCTCCTCCTTCTCCCGGGCCACCACCTGTGGGTGACCAGCGTCCTTGGGCACAGACCCAGACACGGAACCCCGAGCCAGCCGCCGTCCACGGGGCTGAGCAGCAGAGGCTCCTGGCCCCTCCGGAAGGTCCCGCCGGGGGACGAAGGTCACTCCAGGACTTCCACAAGCCAGGACAAGCAGGGGCCCCGAGCTGTCCCTGGTCAGCTACACTCAAATGCCAAGTGTTGGAACAGTGACTGGGGACAGTCCCCATCGCAGTCCCCTAACGTGGCTCAGCAGGTGACACCTGGCCTCAGGTAAAGTGGGGCAGGGCTGGGGTGGGAAGAGAGTCCCCACGGGGGTCTCCAGTCCCCCCTCTGGACCCTCAGTGCAGGTGAGAGTCAGGAACAAGCCCCAGGCCCCACCCAGGTGCCTGTGAGGTCTCCCCAGAGCTGTGTCCACCCCGGACCCCCGTGGTGCTCAGGGCCTGGTGTCCTCACCCATCAGAGGGGACGGTGGCCCCTCTCAGCTCTGGAGCAGGGGCACTGGCGGGGGAAGCCCTGCTCATGGGCCAGACGCAGAGCTGAGGCCCTGACCCACTGCACCCCGGGGGGGGTCTGCAGCAGCGTCCCCGCTGGGCCCTCCGCCCTGTCACCTGGCGAGCAGCTGGCTCTGGGCTTAGAGCTCACCCTCCCCCGCTCCCCCCGCTGAGCTCTTCTGTACCTCTAGAAGGTGGGCTCACACTGAATCCCCCTCCGCTGGGCATCTAGAAGGTCTCAGTGGATGGCGGCGCACGGCCGGGGTCCAAGGACCAATCAAAAGAAGCCCCCGTTTCCATGAGACCAGACTGTAAAGCCTCCAGCTGCAAAATAGCCCAAAGTGAGGCATCCTCAGCAAGGCAGGTCCCACTGCAAATCTTCTTTTCCTTTTTGCAAAAGCAAGACACACTTGGTATTTAAAAAAAAAAAAATTGGGCAGAAATGTAGATGTCAGCTACTTCCACCCAGATGCAGCCAGAGACAGTGGGAACCCCTCCTGGGCCGTGGACACCCTGGGTGGCACCTGTGAAGCTCTCCGGCCGACCCACTCCTTGCCCGGGACTCGGCACCTCGGAACCCAGCGGCTGGCGCACATCACCGGGTTTCCACGGAGTCGCTCCCGATGCAGACAGGCGGGGATCCGTTTTGACCCTCCTTGCCCCACAGAGCAGATTAAAGCCGCCCACCCTCGGGCGCGTGGGCAGAATGGAGAGCTTCCCCATGGAGGGGACCCCGCGCAGCAGACCCCTGTGCCTCCCGAGGACTGCCCTGGCCCTTCCAAACGCCCTGCTCCGAGCACAGAGCCCAGGAGAACAGGGCACCTGAGAAAGGGCCCTGCAGCCCCCACAGCAGTTGGGAGCTGGTGGGTAATGTGTCCCAGTGACCAAACAGCTAGGTGGGGACGCTGTCAGGAGCAGAATGACATTCCAAACAAATGAGCCTGGTCCGAGAGCTGGTACAACACGGGTGACCTGGGGGGTCCTTAACAGCCCCCTCCGGGCCCCCCACTCGGCCCCTCACTCGGCCGAGAGCCCCGGGCGGGAGGAGGGCACGCGAGCCCCCTGGGGTCTGCACGGACGTGGGTGTGGGGGGGCACCACCGCCCCGTGTGCACAGCGTTGGCAAAACTGTGCATCTGGGGACATTTCAGCAGAGACCGTGCACAGTCCCCCAGGGGAGGCCGCTGTCCCCAGAGTCCCGGCCTCACAGTTAGAATGGGGGCTGCAGGTGGAGCGAGCAGGCCAGCCGCCCCCTCGAGTCTTGGGCTTTGGGCAGGGCCATGCGTCCTGGTGGGTCCCGGCAGGCTCCGGGGTCCCTGGACACGGCTGGTCTCATAAGGCAGTAAGTCGGCGGCAGGTGGCCGGGGCCTTGGCCGATGCTGGCTGCCCTCCGTGACCGCCCGAGACAGACTGACAGCCCCAGGAGGGGACGTCTCCTCCTCCTCTCTGTTTCCTGGATCGGCACGCCCAGCCCACTCTCGGGCGCAGCGGGCGCCCTGCAGGAGTTAACGGGGCTGACGGGAGGGGCTGGGCTCTGGACAGGGCACCCCAGGGCTCCTCCCTCTCTGTGGACGTGTCCCCTTTGCCCAGGGCCTCAGCGAGCACCCTTTCTTTGTCCCCAGAGGCGGGGAGAGGCGGAGGGGGTCCACCTGCAGCACTGGGCCCCTGCTCCTCCCACCGGACGTCGAGACGCTGGAGAAACCCGCAAGATGAAGGTGTTCCCAGGAAACTGCTAAGAAGGGGACGACCTGATGGATCAGATTTTAAAAAGGAAGAAGTCACTCCTGGGAGCAGGGCTCCCAGCGCGTCCCCCCCAGAGCCTCTCTGGATTTCTACAGTCGAGGGAAGGCAAGCGAGGGGACAGGGACAGGAGAAGGTGCCCATGGTCACCAAATGTGACTGGGGGGGGAGAGGATCGCCTGACACCTCAGTGCATCACATCTCGCCCCGAGGGACGCTGCCCACGGTGGATGACAGTGTTCCCTACCAAGCAGAGGAGTCACTCAGGCCAGGTTGGGCGTGGACGACACCCTGGGGCCTGCCGGCCAGCAGCTGCCAGGCCTCAGCTCTCTCCAGGCCACCCAGCCTCCTGGGCACAGGGGACCATGTGGGCTGCTCAGAGAAGGCATCTCGGTCCCTGCCTCACCTGAGACTAAGTCCAGCACCTGGGACAGCCCTGAAGGGGGTCCTCTGGGGGTCCCGTCAGTGTCCACACCTGAGTGGTCAGCTGAGGGCCAAGGTTCCCACCCAGCGGCCAGCACTCAGGGAAGGTGGACCAGAGCCGGGCCCGGTGGCCCCTCGCGGTACACAGGCACACGTGCACATGTGAGCACACGCAGACACACGCGCCGTGGACAAGCGCACTGCAGACACTCCCCCAACACGGAAGGACAGTCCAACATCTCCAGCAATTAGGGGCGTGAAACTGACCCCCAGGTCTCCGCCCGTCCAGTCAGGATGGCGGCCATCAATGCCACAAAGGGGAGAAGCGCCACGGAGGGTGTGGGGAAGGACGTTTTTAAGGGTTGGTGGGACTGTAGGTCAGGGCGCTGACCGTGGGAGCCCGGCGTGGGCCACTCCGTGGGCCAGCTGCCCGGTCCCCGGTGTTTATCCTGAGGAATCAAGGTCGTCACCAGGGACCAGACACCCTGTTGACGCAGCAGTTCACAGTGGCCAGGCTGAGCAGGCCTAGCTGTCCACCCACAGGTGAGGCAGGACGGTCCAGGTGCACGTGGAGTCTCCTTTGGCCACGGAGACACACTAGTCACGTCATTTGCAGGGAAGCGGGTGGAGGTGGAGAGCAGCCGCCAAGTGACAGGAGACGGACCAAGAGGTGGGGGTGGCRGGTCACCTTTCACATGTGGAAGACAGAGTCAAGGGACCCGTGACACTAGGAGAGAGACCAGCAGTGGTGGAGGGGCCAGGGGACGGAGGCACCGACCAGGTCCTGCTCCGTGAGTGACCAGTCGGCCACCACAGCCCGCTGGAAACCCATCTGAAGAAGCTTCAAGCTGCGGAAGAAATAGCCAGGGGCAGAGTCAGACCCAGAGAGGGACCGGCAGGAGGCGAGTCTCGACGTCCAGCCAGGACCTGTGGCCACGCCGAGTGAGGGGTCATGGATGCACACACCGTGGGCAGCGGCTGAAGGAAGCAGGTCTGAGCCGCCCCCCGACCGCACAGAGAGGCAGAGACCCCGGGACAGCTGGCGAGGGGCCCGAGAGACAGGCTGGCGCGACCGAGGCCCAGAGGCCCCGAGAGAGGCCGCCACTCACAGCTCCCGAGGAGGGTGGGGGCCAGGCCCTCAGCCACCGTGGAAGACCAGGATGGCAGGAGGGCAGGGACAGCGTGGACAGCCGGGCAGTGGGTGTCCCCCTGTGTGCTGGCGTCTCATGTCCTGCTGGTTGGGGGCCTCCTCGCCGTTAACCGTGACCTTCTCCCGTGAACTGTGACCCACCGAGGCCGGAAGAGCGTCTGGTTAGGGCGCGAGGCACAGGCCAGGGCCCAAGTCGCCGCGTCTGACACTCGACAATGTGAGGCCAGAGACCGCGGGAACCCAGCGGCCCTTCTGCCAGGCAGGGGTGGACCCCTCCCCACCCCGGGGGTGCAGCCGCTCAGATTGGCCACCGACTGGCCAGGGTGGCCTCCTGTGCTCACACGCCCGTGTCTCCACCCGTAGGGCTCCCAGGGCAGGACACGCCTCGGCCCCGCTGAGCCTCACACCTAGCAAGGAGCCTGGCACCCAGGTGCTGGTGACCCTGACCA